ACAATTACTTTGGAGCTTCTAAAGTAAGTATAACCCAACCCCTTTTTTTATATTGGACATAATATTCCTTAATATTTTTTTTAAAAAAATACATGCTCTAAAGTACCATAATATTTATAGCTGAGCCATGGTTGCTTTCAACTAATTATGAAACCTTTCTTGGAGTGGGTGGAAGGAGGAGAGACTAGGGATTTAAGCATGGACTATTGCTCATCAGTTAATTCCAGGACTTTGTTGGAAGGATGCCATAATCTTGCAGCTGTAACTATTGGTCTGACATTTTTACTGCAGAGGCAATTGGCATTTCTTGAATCCAAACACTTTTAAATTTGCTTGTTCTTTAAATTTTGTTAGATGCCTTCGAAATAGAGAACTAAACATACTATAATGGAGATAATTGCTGCAATATTAATTTCATTGGGAATTTTGCCTCTAAATCCCCCAGGTAGTTTTAATTATGTCAACAGTATGTAAGTGCCAACTATATATAACTTCTCCTCCAGAAGTGATACTGTAGGCCATGGTAAACCTCAGGAATTCATATAAATTTTTACCCACAGTTAGACACGACTTGCCTACTGTGTACAGAGGCTTTTTATTGAAACCAATTATCTATTTCCAGGTTACTCCCAGACTTGTGTCTATTGAGAGCAGGTCTGACAAAGGAAATGATTTCATAAGTTGTTTTGTAGCATGGCTGAGCTATAATAAAATTAAAAAAAACCTCCCTAAACTTCTCTGTAAGGAATTAATGTGTACTCAGGATGATATTGAAGTAAAAGTCATTCTGGAATTGAGCACTTAAAATTGGTTTCATAAGAGCTTTTATTTAGACCTAGATTTAAAGATGTAGTTTTGAAATCTGCTTTTGTAAAACCTTTAAATAGACATTTGGTTTCAATAAGGTGGTGGCTTGCTTACTTTCTAAAGGGTTAAGTTCTATTGGAGATTCTTGTCTAAGGGTAACATGATGATCTTAGTTGAATTTTGATATGTACCGTGATATCTGATCTTTCTAGGAAATATATAACATGAGATGCTTGGGTGTTATTAATTGGTAATTGGGCAGCTTGCCTCTATACCAGGGGTGGGCAAATACTGGTCTGCAGGCTGCCAGGGTTAGCCCCCGGTGGGCCCCCGCACCACTGTATTTATCCACTCCTCTGCAGGTATGGGGGATCATGGCTCCCATTGGCTGCGGATCGCTGTTCCTGGCCCATGGAAGCTGCAGTCGCTGTACCTGTGGAAGGGCTGGTAATTATAATGGCAGCAGCCCATCAGAAGCTAACCCTGGTGAACTGCTGACGTTTTATTGGTCACCCTTGCTGTGCACCCTAACTTCTTGATGTGTATAGAGACATTATTTTAATACATTTTAAAACTTAGACTAAAAACATCCAACCAAAACAAAAGCTAGTAATGGAAAGATCACCTTTATTCAGAAAAAGTGTTCCACTAATCTCTTATGGTTTGACAGACAAAAGAACAAAAGTTAAGGTTTTTAACTGAAGCATAAATGATTAAGTGAAAAGATTTAACTAATGTATTCATTTTTACGATTCACTTCAAGATATTTTAGGGTTCTGAACTCTTCAGTGCTCTGGTTCTCCTTTGAACACAATAGGCCAGGAGTGGGCAATAATTTTTCATGGGGGGAGGGCCACTCCAAGATTTTGGTAAGTGGTCAAGGTCTGCACTTTTCTATGGAGGGGCGGGTGTTGTGGGGTTTGGGATGGAGGTTCGGTGCAAAAGGGATCTTGGGGTAGGAGATTGGGGTGCAGCTGATTCCAGGCTCCACGCGGTGTTGCCACTTTGAAATTCCGTGGGGAGCCTGGTGAAATGCTGTGGGGAGCCTGGTGTCCAGCTCCGCGTGGCATTTCAAAATGGCCGTGCCACGTGCAGCCCAAAGTCAGCGGGGGAGTCCCCAGCTGATCCTGGGCTCCATGTGGCGCTGCCGCTTTGAAATGCCACGTGCAGCCCGGGGCCACCCCAGCTGGCCCCGGGCTGCTTGCAGTGTTTCAAAGTGGCAGTGCCACCTGTAGCCCGGGGTCTGACCCAAAGCTTCAAGCTGTGCTGCCACTTTGAAGTATCCTCCTCCCCTTCTGATAGAGACAGCAAGGGATGGGGGGAGAAGTGGCTAGTCCTTCACATCCCTAATATGAAAATACAACTATTCTAAACTTCAATTTGAGACAGTTTATCAATAAAGAAGTTAAACTCTAAGGTTGTGTCTATGTGGTGCTGAAAAATGCTTAACATATCTGATTGGTCTGTCAGAGTTTTGTTCCTTAGTTTCTTGGTAAGTAAAAATTAGAAACTGGTGGGTGCTTTAACTGTTTGCTCTTGCTGCCATTATAACAAGAAAAAAATAAATATTTTGATCTCTGTATAATCAGAAGTGAGAGAGAAAAGTTTGACTCATCATATTACTAAGGTGTCTTAATCACTTACAGTGCTAAATCCAGACAGTATTTGCTTCATCAGTGTTGAAAGAGGGATAAAATATGACTTCATGGCAGAAATATGACTTGGCCAAACTAGTGAAAATAGGAATCCAGTTGTTGGCAGATTAACAGTTTGACCATTTTTAGAAACATTTCTTTTTGGGACATGAGTCAAGAAACACTGTCTTTGTAAAGTTGGTGCTACAGAGGATCTTAGATACAAAACTGAGAATTTTAGTGTTAGGACTTTTTTTCTTCAGAGTTACTCATAGCGCAAAAAAAGGGGAGAGTTGAAGTGGAAAGATGCTATTAAAGATTAAATTAGATTATGAATATATTTAAAAAATAGTAAAAATAGTTTGATGGACTCAGTGACAAAAATATCTTTTTTCAGATGATGAGCTGGCATTCTAATCAAGTGTGCTGTTTTTCTAGTGTTATAGTAATTGTATAGCTTGTAGAATCAGGGAGGTGTGAATTCTAGTGACTAATGACAAAACTCCTACTGACTTCCATGAAAGCAGGTGCAGGCCTCATGGGTCCCTACATGTTGTGAGGGATGTGTGTTTTTTGTTTTCTGGGTTTTTTTGAGGTGGAAGATTATAGTGATTTTTCTCTCCGTTCATTCTCCCAGAACTCACTGAAGACCCTGTTTTCCCCCCATCCCACACAGTGGCACTCTGCGCCCACAGATCCCGTTGATTTCCACACCTCTGAATCTAGGCCCAAAAGCCTCTTTCGTCAGATGCTGTTGTGAAAACCTGTCTGAGTGGGTTGGTCTGCCTAGTTCCTAGGGGAGAGGTGTCCATGTTTCTCTCAAAACTGATTGTTACCAGGATCCAAGATAGCAGCTTCAGCAGAGATGTTCACATTAAATTATAGCAATGAAAAGTGAACTACTTTCTTGTCAAGGAGGTTTCTCAAGGTCATGGTTGAGGCCTGTAGTGGGACTGCTTTGGAAAGGTTATGCTGTGGCTTCCTGTGGCAGAATAGAAGAGTTCATTCTCAGGGTTGTCAGTCAAAACCCTTTTGTGAGCATCAGATTCTTTTATAACTTTAAAGGACAAATTAAAATACAGGCTGGACCTCATTGGTCCGGTGTCCCCAAACGAGGAGATTTACTGGAGCAGGGGAGGTCCCTCCCCTTCTGGCTCGTGCTGCCACCAGGTTAGGGTGCAAACCTGTCTCTGCTGCTGCCCCAGGGGCTGTCTAGATGCTGCCTGCCCTGCTGCTGCCAGGGCCGGAGCACTACAGCCTGAGCTCCACAGCTGGGGCTGAGCTTCGCGGCAGCGGCTGGAGCTGCGCAGCCATGGCAGAGGGCTGAGGCCAGAGCTCTCTGGCTGCTGTTGAAGCTGGATCTCGATGGCCACCACTGGGGCCAGAACTCCCCACTGTTGGCCTCCCACGCCAACACTGGGCTCCCACCCCACTGCCAGAACCCCTTGTTCCTGGGCTCTGTGGTCCAGAAACATCCATGGTCTGTTGCCAGACCAAGGATTCCCTGTTAAGGAAGGTACAATCTGTAGTAAAAATGCCTTGAATACTACTGATGCCATCCAGAGCTCATGTTATCAGAGAGCACACATGTGTAGATGATAGGCAAATACCTCTTTTACTCATTCTTTTTTTTTTATCACTTACTAATGTCCAGTGGAATTCAGATAGAACAAACTGCCTTGGTTATAAAGAAAACCTGAGTACTGTTCAGTGGAATACTGTGTTCCACCCCACTACAAGTTTCAGGGTAATTGGAGTTTAATGCTATTTCAATGACTATCTTTAATTCAAGAAGTAGTCTCTGACTTCACTTTTCTGACTTCTTTCGCAGACATAATGAAGCTTACACATGGACAAACCCAACCTGTTGCGTACATAACATAATTATAGGTAAACTGTGGATAGAACAGTATGGAACAATAGAAATTGTAAATCACAGGTAATATTGCTAATTATGCAGCATTGGCCATTATAGAGACTGAAAAGTAGTAACCACAGATTCAAAGCCTTGCCCTTTATAATGGATCTTGTTGGTCCAAAATGTTATCTCCTGTCAACTTACTGAACACTGTTTAACTTATTTATTCATCTGGACTGCTTAAATAGTTTTTTGTGTTTGAAACAAATATCAAAACAGTGATAACAGTACACATGGTTATGCAGAAAACTGGATGGTATACATAATCTTTCAACTCTAGGTCACCTGTTCAGATCCTGCCCAGTTGATAGTGAATTGCAATTTAATGGCTCTGCAGTGAATTATGTGCAACATGCAGCACATCATAAACCACTGTTATGCTAGTCAATAATGGGCCCTCTTTTTTCAGTTTCCCTAGTTTAGTCCAGGAATCCTGGCTTGGTGTCTACCTATAACGTAGTTTGGCAATAGCGTTTGAGTGCACATATACAATGTGGGTACCTTTAGCAGTATTGTCAACTTCATGTGATTAGCTCACTGTAATGATATTCATAATGATATAATAAGAAATACCATGGGTAGGGAACAGTTCCTATTCCTTTTTAACTCCCAATGACTCCTAGAGAGTTTTATTCAGAAATCACCCATTTATTCAGAAATCATTTGATTTTTAATAAAGCTCTCTGAGTTATCTTTTATGCCTGTCTTAGAATAAAATAAAGCAACAAGGACTTCCAGTAATCCAGTGGCTTTTACTACCTGATTTCTAAGTGTTTTCATTAAATAGTGTTTAATTTTAACAAAGTAAATGCATTAGTGAACACTGCCCTTCACATATTTAGATGCTGGCTTTCTAAATGGTAAATTTGTTTCATTTACAGTACTGGAGATAAATGTGTCCTTAATTTTAAACCATGCGGCCTGTTTGGGAAAGAGCTTCACAGAGTAGAGGGTCACATTCAGGACAAAAAGTAAGTGGAAATTCTGCGTGGTTTTTTTTAATAGCACCAGCTTGTTGGACTGACACATGCTTAACATGATTGTACTAATGTAAAAATTTAGCAGACTTCTCCCATTCTCATTTATTTCTTTTTCCTGGGTAAGTATTACATGTATTGATTTTAGAATGCATATTGGGCTTTAAGTGTAGCAATCCAGATTTAAAGGACAGATATCCAGAGAAAACACAGAGAATAATACTACTGCTGACCATGTCCTTTTCTTGGTAATGTATTAGGACTTCTAGTTTTCAATTTAAAATATTTGTCAAAAATGCTAAAAGCTGTATTCCCCAAATGCAAACTGTTATGTTCTTGTTCTTGATCTTTATAAACTATTGCTTCTATAATCAGTTTAACAATGGAAAATAGCATAAGACTGGCTAAATAATGAGGGAACATTCAAAGCACAGGTCTGAATACCATAAATGTTGGGATACTGAAATGTTCATCTTTGCATTTCTAGTCTGATAAATGGTTTCCCAGAAGTTTGTAGTAATCAGGAAAAAACAAAAATCAGGAAAACCTGAATATCATCTGGATTACATCATGCTGATTTTAGGTTAGGAAGATATAGAAATTGGGCAGCAAAAGTAAGTCTCCTTTCCCTCTATAAACAGCAAGAAGAAGCTCTCTGTGATCTATGGCAAATGGACAGAATGCTTATGGTGTATCGATCCTGCCACATATGATAGTTCTAAAAAGAACGAGAAGAGAGGTGGTGACCAGAAGAAAATGAAGCCGGTAAGGTTTTCATGTAATTGTTCAGGATAAAGCATCTTCAGAAAAGGACAAATGTCTGATTAGAAGAATATCTGTTGATGTGGTTGTGGTGAAGCTATCGCTGTTATGGTGGATATTTTTTGTATCCAGGGGCCCTAATACCAGGAAGTGATGAGTGCTTTGGACTCCCATTGACTTCAGTGAAAGATGAGGGCTCTGAGCAATTTGCAGAGATTGGTCATAGAGATGGAGATTGATATGTGGTAACTATTGTTGCAGATCTTGAGTTGCATCTTACTGTCTGCTAGTAAGGAAAATGGTAACAACTTGTACCTCCCTTAACTGGAACTTGCTGGTCCAGCAACATCCATAGTCTGTCATGGACCACGGATGTTCCTGGACCACATAGCCCAGGAACAGAGGTCTGGTGGCAGGGGGAGGAGCGCTGTAGGGTGCACCAGCAACTCATCTGAGAGCCCAGTGTGTGTGGGGGGAGAACAGGGAGGAATTGGGGCACAGCAGGGGAGCTCTGGCCACAGTGGTGGTCATGGAGCTCCGCTCCGGCCCCGTTCTGGCTCCAGTGGCCAGGGAACTCCAGCCTCGGTGGCAGCCAGGGAGCTCCGCCCTAGCCTTTGACTGCATAGCTCTGGCCGTGGCTGCAGAGTTCTACCCAAGCTGCAGAGCACCAGCTGTGGCTCTCCGGCCCTGGCAGCAGTGGAGCTGGCGGCATCTAGAGAACCTCAGGGAGCTGGGGTTGCAGCAGAGACAGGCTGGAGTCCTAACCTGATGGCAGCATGGGCTGGGACAGGAGGGACCTCCCCTGGTCCAGAAAATCCTCTCATTTGGGACCAGTCATGTCCTGAGGGTCCCGGACCAGTGAGGTCCAACCTGTGGCATTGCCACACTGAGGCATTTAAAAATCTCCATGAAAAATCATGTAATTGTTTGAAAAATATGAGATTTTTTTTAAGTTTGACTTTTTATTTACCGTTTGTGTTTTGAGCCTTTTAGGGCTTAAGTTGCAGAGAGCTTAAAAATGAGGGCTTATAAAATTCATCTTCCCTTTCTGATGAACTTGCATTTAGAAGGGGAGTTGCCCAATAGGAAGTCAGATGTTGCAATGGAAAACACTCTCAGGGATTTTTTTCAAAAGAGTAAGGTTGGAAAGTAAGTTTGAATTTACCGTAATGTGAATTCGAGAGGACCTGTCTGTTACACAAACGGAAGTACATTATATTAAACCAGACAGGACACGATTGTCTTCAGACACAATTTCTTTGTTTTTTAATTGTGTGACATTTTCAGCTGGTTGTCAGTGTGTTGGATTTCCCTATTGATGGTCATTGGTTTTTCAGGTAGTCGCTTGGGCTGAAATCCTTTTGATCTCTCTGCAATTTAACTGTGGAAGGTTCAATTCACAGTGGTTCCCCTGCTGGTTTTACCCATGAAAGCTCATGATTCTATATATTTTATTTAGTCTCTAAAGTGCCATAGACTGCCTGTGATTTTTATAGAGGGGAATGGTGGCAAGAAGTGGGAGTCCAGGAGTTGCAGGGTTGAAGACTGTCCAGGATGAATGAGGGGGGAGGGGTAGACTGTGACAGTCACCCATGATATGTGCAAATCTAATATATACAGAGAGCGGAGGTCAGTTACATCTATAGCTGAAAGATGATGGTGATGGCAGAGACTGTGGCTAAGTGGGGCACATCCTGTTTTCAGGTTTGGAAGAAGACTATTTCCTCATCTCAAGTTGCAAAGCCCATTTATTCAGATTTCACCCTGGGGGTGGAAATGTCACTTGTATTGTCTGAAGGATGCCGTGTTGAAATACTACATTTTTATAGCCAGATTCTTCTTGGTTATAAAATTTTGATTGACTGTGATTGGTGGCTTATGAGGCATACATACACTTTTTTAAAAAAAATGTAGAATATCATTCCTGAATGTGTATGTTTTCCTCTGTATGTCTTGAGAGAAAAGCACTAAACAGTAGTGCCAAAGCTCACTGTAGTGATTCTAAAATTTCACTTGCATTTCCTCAGTTTTTCCAGTGTTTGACACTGTAAGAATGGCATTACTCTGATAGCACAAACTTATTTACCCCCTCTCTCATGGTATAAGACAGTAGAATATTTTAATTCCAGTTCAACCATCAGATCAGGTCTGTCTGATTTGGTGATTTTCAGGTACCTGCAGTCATACCATTTCCAATTGTAAATGGGAAAAAATAAAATATCTGGACAAAGGAAAGAGGAAATTGCTTGTCTTTCTGTGTTTCATTCTTTAAAAAAATTAAAATCCATTATTTTTATGGTATTGAAACAAAATTTCATTCCATTTTCCAAAGATAAGAATCCTTTTAAATGTCATCACCATTGCATTTCATGTCTTCTGTTTAGGGAGCCCTCAAGCTATTTGATATGGTAGGGCAGGGCTATTCAACACGCGGACCGTGGGCTGCATGCAGCCCTCAGCCCATTTATTTGCAGCCCGCAGTGCGGTTTGGGTTTATGCAGGGCTCTCAATATGCGGCCAGTGGGTGGGATCCCTTGAACATGGCCTCCACTGGGACCATGCTTCACAACAGCGAGTCAATATAATTGTCTTCTGTTGATATGCATTTTAGTAGGTAAATTCCTGGTCTGTCATTGCTCATTAAAAGTGCTGTCATATGGGTGGAAATTGGGTATATATTGCATGTTGTTAATATCAGCAGAACTGACTTAAATGGGGCCTGCGTGTTGTGTAGTCTTGCCATAATCTTTGTATTCATGCCTATCAGTGTGAAAGAAGCTATTTTCATATATTAGCATTATATTTGCATGTAAATGCAACCACACTTAAGTTGGCATGTTCTGTGAGTATCATTGTGGCTCCTGGGGTTTCCAAAGTTAAGTAGCCCTGTGGTAGGGCTTATGTACAAGCAGCACATTCAGTATACCTTGTTTTTTAATGAATGCAAAACTGATGGGCCGACTTCACTTTAGTCTAAGAGAATTTTCTTTTCTGTTGCATTTTACATTTTATGAAGCCTGGCTCTTTTTTCAATCTGTCTAATCTCATCCTGAGAGCAATTGTTACATTTTGATCCTGGACTACCTGAAATTAGGTTCCTTAACCCTGTTGGAATAAAGATATTTTATTATTTTACCACTTTTTGTGGATTGTAAGAAATGACAGGGCCCCTTCAATCAGTTTCATGCTGGTAGTGTAGTGGCTATGTAGACAAATGTGACAGCTGTATGCACCTAAGCAGTACCTGTCTTTCTTGTATGCAGAGTGGGAGTGTTGGTTGGAATCCTGGAAAAGTTCTCAAGCTTTCTTTAAAAGCATCATGAAATCTTTAATGACCTCTGGGTGGCCAAAAGAGATGGTAGGAAGAACTAGTATTGCACTGCAATGGGCGTATAACTCCTGGTGCAAACTAATGGATTGCATTAGGTTGAATTAGGTAAAGAAGGAATCAGTGAGAGGATGTCAAATATTTGACTTTTGAAACTGCATGCTTAGTGTGTTTTACTGAGGCATAAGGAACATTAGCAGATCGTCTTGCTAATCAACCCTCAGTATCTGGTATGTGACTACATCAGGTGTAAGACTATAGATATTTGATGACTTACTGCTTATCTAGTGCTGCCAATGTGTGCAGCACAGTATGTACGCGTGCAAGGCTATGTCTTCACTGTGGATTTCTTTTGCCAGCATGTAGAGTATGTACTCAGGAAGCCCCCCCAGCATGGGTTTAAATAGTGGTGTAGATGGTGAGGCCTGTCTTAGGCAGATGGGTACAGACCTTGGCATGTTTGCACTTTAAGTACACTACAAGGCTCTCTTTTCACCCTGCTTTCGTGTCTACACTGCTATTTTTAGTCACATAGCGTCCTGCTGCCTTCCAGCTGCTGCGGGAAAAGGGTCTGGCAGTGGGGGAAAAAAGGCTTTTGTGTGAGGAAGGGCTCTGCCAATGCCCTGCTGCTGGAACCGTTTCCCTCGGCAGGGAAGAACTGCGTCAGCTGGTGTCTCCCTGCTGCCAAAGCTTTTCCGCACTGTAGTGAAAGGTTCCGGCAGTTGGCATCTACAGAAGCTTTTCCCTGCTGCCTAACCTCCCCCATCTCTGTGCTAGAGCCTTTCACGGACACTGTGGTGTGAAAGTAGCTTACTTTTCGCTGTAGCAACATGTACCTTACACACTGCCAGAAGTGTGTACGGTGGCTATCGGTATGGGCGCATTACCACAGCTGAAGAGCTAATAATTGAAGACAGAACAGATAGGATATGAGAAGAGAGAATGTGAAGTAAACAAACAAAATATTTCTGGAAGACCTAAATATTGATGATAGAAGGCGCTTTTGCCAGGTAGAAAATGGGAGAAGGCATGAAGTTGAGACTTAGGTGAGTGAAGGGAGGAAAGGAGAGCAGACATCTAGGTTGGTGGCATAATGGAAGGTCTGGATTTTGATAGGATTTTTAATGTCTTCTCCAGCGAATTCTAGGCACAAGAACTATCTGTAATTTCAGGGGTTGTGTATTTGTTTCAGAGTGAAGATGCTGAGAATGACGAGGCTGATGATATGCCAGAGATCCAAGAGACCGTACAAATGATACGAGGCAGCAAGCTGCTTTGGAGAATAAATTCTAGACCTCCAAACTCATCACAGGTGACTAGTTCAATAAATTAGGATCCTCTGGTCATGGTGGCTTGTCCAAGGATGTTATCACAATGGTCAAGGTTAACTCCTCTTACGTACATTATAGTCTTAAAGGTAGATTTGAGAAAATGCCCAGAATATTTTCCCTGATATCAAAGGGTAAAGTTTCTTTTTGAAAGTATCTGTTTTGTATTTCCTGTTCAATACATTATAAAAACGATAATCTTGAGACAACTCAGAATCAGAGAATCTATGAGCAACAAGTTTTCTTGATCCTCTGTAGCAAGGCCGCTTCAGTCACTTCTGTCACATTTTTATTTTCCTAAGTCTTAAGGGTGGTATTTTCAGAAGTGCTCAGCCTCAGCCGAATTCTCACTGTAGTCGGTAACAGCGGAATTGGTTCAATGATAAGTACTTTTGAAAAATCTCATTGTAACAACCCAGGTAAGGGAACCAAATGTCACTTACTGTGATTTTTTTTTTAAACTTGACTATACATGTATTTTCTTTGCTCTGCCTTAAGATATACAATTTCACCAGTTTTGCTGTGAGTCTCAATGAGCTGGAAACGGGCATGGAAGCAATTTTAGCTCCCACTGACTGTCGTCTACGTCCAGATATCAGAAGCATGGAAAATGGAGATCTGGGTATGTTTGTTTGCTAGAGATTTATTAATTCTCCCTCTTTACACCCCTCCACTCCTCTAACCATACAGAAGATGAAAAAGAGCTGGTTTGGGTCGAGGTGGCTATCCTCAGGCTTTTACCCACTTATAAATTCTGGGTGATAACTGTAGTTCTAGGGTAACTTTGTCTTTATCACCATCTTGTGATCATGAGTGTTACTCCTTCCTGAACAGCGTATGAGTCCTTACCCTCCGGCCTGCTGACAGAGGCCAAAGAGCTACTGTGGCAGCTGAAGCCCTGGGCCCTTTAAATCGCTGCTTGGAGTGCTATGCTGCATGCTCTAGGCAGCTCCAAGGACTGAGGAGGCATGCCATGCTCCAGGAGATGCATAAGGTTGGCTGCCCCGGCCCCAACCCTTCTGGCAGCATAGAGCTGTCCTCATACCTTGCCCAGGGGCCTGCAGAGGCTGTTGGTCCCCTGCTTACTCCATCCAATACAGTATTTCTGACAAATGAAATACCAGATTTAGGATTCCCAATAGGTTTGTTTGGATGATCAGTTCTTCTGGTGTGCTGCTGCCTTGAAGGAGTCAGAGGTGACTGTTTTGGTTTAAAGAGGGTGTGTACAACAAATGCTTTCCTGTGTTTAAAATGACTTTAATTTTCTCTCCAGCCTTTCCCATGTTTTGTTCTTTTTGTCTTTATTTTGCAATGTAACCAATTCCTATTTAAATATTTGTTAGATCTGGCTAGCAAAGAAAAGGAGAGACTAGAAGAGAAACAAAGATCTACTCGTAAGGAACGTGCAAAAGATGAAGTGGAATGGACGACAAGGTAATTTTTAGAGGAAGGGAAGATAGTGGGGCATGTGGTTAAGGTTAGTGAATTGTTTAGTTTTACTGTTCAGTTCCTCTTTGTATTACAGAAAAATTTGTAGCGTCACTTGAAGTCTTGTGGGGAAAGAACATTTAAAAAAATGCAACATGAAGCCGAAATTGTAGGTTATTTCAACCCAACCGCCCCAAACGGCTGTAAATAGATTGAGGCTGAAGTTTGTCAAAAGAATACCAAAGGAGTATCAAAGTCTTTTGCCTACTGGAGTTGGCCTTTTTACAACGGGATGAATAAGACGGTGGGAGTATCCCAGAGTAGTTTTTTTTAAGAGAGGGAGAGGTAGCCTTCCATGGATTTTTCCCTGCATAGTACTTACAGCATGAAAAAATGCAGCCATCAAATGGTGTCTTCAGCAGGGCCAAGAGCGTGGGCAGGACTCTGAGTAAGGCAGATTGCTTTGCCTCCCTGAGCAGCCCTTAGCGCTGCTCTGAGATTGCCATGGGGTGCTCCAGCAGCAAATTAAAGGATGAAGGCACCCGGCCACTGCTGAAGTAGTGGCAGTGGCTGGTAGTGGCTGGGAGTTCCAGGCTCTGGGGCAGTTGCACTCTTTGAGTCCCCTGTTGGCGGGCCTGGGTATCCAACACAAAATACCCAATAGTGGAGATTTTACTGGGAAACACATTGCTGTAAAGAACAAGCAACCCAAATGGTTATCTCTGAAAATAACCAAACCCCAAGAAATACTAGTACAATACTTTACAACTCTAAAGAAGTTTTCATTCCTAGGTGCATGCTCTTAAAATTCTTTACAAAGGTGCTGTCACTAGGGCTCAGAGAGGTGAAATAACAAGGTCACACAGTGAATCTGTAGTGTCCTTGGGAACAGAATGAAGTTTTCTCTTAATGTCCTCGTAATCCATAAACATGCCAGCTACCTTTTAAATATTAAACCAAAAATGACTGGAAAATCTTAATTGAGAAAGAGCCCTGTTTGTTAAATCATTACAGAAAAAAAGCTGATCATGAAAGTTTAAAATTCATCTGAGTAAGGAAAAGGAACATTTGAATTATGATTATTACTATTTAGGCATGTATCAGTGTAGTAACAGGCAGAGACATGAGCACTGAAAGATTTGGATGGTATTTACTTTTTTTTACTTTAACCAGCAATCAAGTCTGTGTTGTGGAAAGGCAATATTTTTCAGATTGGAAATTATTTACCCTAATTCTTGGATAGTGCAGAACCACCTTGGCTTTGCCCAGTTAAAAAAAAAAAGTGTTAAAAATTACAACCAAGTATAGAACCATCTTGAAATACACCGTATCTGTTACTTCATTGGTCATCAATTCACAATCTTGCCTTACAGGCACATTGGAAAAAGAAACCAGGCTATTCTTGCACATAAAGGATTTATTTTGTAGTAAACAGATAAAATGAAATTTTGAAGCAACAGGAAAAGATTCTCAAAGGGAGAAAGAGCAGTTAAGTGCCAAACTCCCATTGAAAATCAGTGGGAAATGGATGCCAAATTCCCATTGGTGCCTTTGAGAATCTCTTCTAGAGCAGAGGTTCTCAACCTTGATTCATTTGCAGGCCACTAAGAAAATTCAATTGGTGGCAGGGACCCCTTTGGAAATCTTGGATCACAGGTTGAAAACCACTGTTCTATGGTGAAAACCACCTTTGGTGGACATGTTAGATATCAACTGCAGATCCCCAGGGCTCCGCAAACTACAGGTTGAGAATGACTTAATTTCAACTATTGCTACCAGTTAATACACAGGGCAGCTTAAACTTGAGCTCCTATTGTTGTGCTGTATGAAATGCAGCTACACAGAACAGAACTGTTGTGTGAATACTCTTAAAGAAGGAACATTTTTTATACAAAAACCTGATTTGGCAATTTAAAATATAAAGAATGTTGATATTTAGATTTTTTCCTTTTAAAGATCTCGAACAGGAATGATAAAACAAGTACTGTAAGGTCAAGAAGAAAGGGGCCTATAAACAAGGACAGAGAAAAGTATTTAATAAACGTAACTTAAGAACTTGATTCTTCTTTTCCCCTGCTCCCCCCAATATCTAATGGGAAAGGATAGTTTAGACTGAGAAATTCAGGTGCATTTTTATTCTTGTTTGTAAAAGAAGCAAAAACATTTTTTCTTTAATATATGTTCCTTTAATATATGTTCTTTTACCCACTTCATTTGCTTTTCACAGATGGTTTCATCAAGGCAATAATCCATACACTGGAACTTCAGACTGGTTATATTCAGGCGGCTACTTTGATAGAAATTTCTCAGACTGTCCAGATATATATTGAAATATCTGAACCCATCACTCCATCTCATCTGGACACTTAGTTGTTAAATTTCATTCAGTGCCAGTTATTCTGGTTTTGTTAATAGCAAATACAAAAAACCCCCACACCTTTTCTAAAGTAAATTTTAATGAAAATTGTATCATTCACCAATCAAGGATTTGTCATTAATTTTGATTGCCATATATTTAAATGCTGCTACATTTTTTTCCTGTAAAGCTTTCATCTGAAATCATCATGTTTTAACTAAGTTTTAAAGGGTTGTCTTTTTTTTGTCAAAGGTATGCTGTAGCCAGTAGAGTTTACAACACCCTTTTAATTATATAGCTAAGAAAAAATAGCAGTGATATCCTTGTTACTTCACTTAGCACAGCATTAAAAAATCGAAGTATCCAGAACTTGGAACAATGGTAAATTGGCATGGTACAAACATGATCCAAGCAAGCAGAAGTAGTGTTCCTTGTGAAGAGATGTATATGACCTTTTTCAAATGGTAAGCAGAGCTGAAGAGATTGAAGCTCCTGGTCTATCTCAGTACAATTCAAAGGCTTAAAAAACACAAAGCACTGAATGTTAGGCTTACTGCAGCTTGAACTGCTACTCCTAATTGTCTCTGGGCACTGTGAGCATTACTTGAACTATGTACTTATGATAACAATTACTTAAACCTTATGTTGGGGTGTGGGAAGGGTAAATTAGCAAATACCTGCTTTTGTGAAGTAAAATGTTGCTCTTAAAATACAGAAGGCTTCAGAGAGATTTGTAGAAACATGGAAGTTGTGATTACAGTGTACACTAAAGATCTCTGTGGCCGCTTACTTTGACTAGGAGGCTTGGGTCTCCAGCACTACTATTGGCAGCTTAGGCCTGGTCTACACTATGGGGCAATGTCTACCTAAGATATGCAACTTCAGCTATGTGAATAGTATAGCTGGAGTTGACATACCTTAGGTCAAGTTGCCACAGGGTCCCCACTATGAGGGGAGTGGGCTGAGCGGAGAAACTCTGCAATTGGCTCCCCTTCCTCTTCATGGCCTGGTGGAGTACCAGTCAGCAGGAGTGCAATCAGTGGTGGAGTTAGCACATCCTTTCTAGACCTGCTAAATCAACCTCCAGGAGATTAATCCCCAGAGTATCAATCTTCCGGTAAGTGTAGACAAGGCCGTATGCATTATTTATGCTTCTAGACTGACTTTTCTTTGGAAGCATTCAGTATATATCCATAGATGGTCTTACTTGTTTTTAGTTTTTTTGTTTTTTTGTTTTTGTTTTTTACGTGTTCTGAAACAGGGTCACATCTGGTTGTATGTTGTGAAAAGCCAATCTTTTTAAAGCTAAGCAGCATAACTGAAGTTATTTTAAAACTAGTAATGGGTATAATCTCTGTAACCACTTGCAGTCATAGAGAATTGATTTACTTTTGTTGGCATAGAAATGTCAAAGCATATAATGTTGGAATGATTTAAACTGCACATCAGTTGACTGACTATACATTTATGGAGTTAAATTGTCATCAAAGTAGTACATTTCTATTGAGGCTTAAATAATTAGATGTAGAAATTAAACAAATGTTAATAGTTGCTCATTCTTTTATGAAAGCTCTCTATTTAGTAACCAATCGAAACTGGTGATGTTGCTGATAAATGTATAGTAATTCAGAGATTGCTGATGTTAAACACCAGCATTTCTTTGAGTATTCATGAAAGAATCCATCTGATTTCCAGATGCATTTCAGATTGCATACTTGTGACTTCATCCAAAGGCTAGGTTTTGAAGTGCTTCTACCAGCTAGAAGAAAAATACACAAAACTCAAGAGAAACATATTTCTTTTACACCCAAAATGAGCTATTTTATATTTGTTACATTTTGTTCATTTTTTCAGTGAAGAAGGTAAGCCATGAAAGTTAAAGGCAATTAAGGAACAGCTCTGAAATAAATTCATGTCACTGTATCCTGTCGTCAGCAATTAACTGTGTTCACCTTGAAGTCTCTTGGCCAGCCAGGCTAATCTTGATATTGTTTATATTGGTGTGCTAGAGAAAAAAAATGTTCACTCCAGATTTAAATATATTGGCAATTCTGATTTTAATACGGAATAACTAATGCTTATGGACAACTTAACTACTTCCTATCAGGTTCTTTTTGCAAAGTTAAACCTAAAAGATTAATATTTCATATATTCTAAGCTGCTTCAAGTTTCTTGCAAGCAGATGCTAACATAAGGAGCATTGTGCACTGCTAACAGTGAATGGATTCAAATTTTAAGCCATTTTTGTAATGTTTCATGAATAACTCTTATTTAACGTAAATACTTGAGTTTGTCTGTTATTAGTTCTGCTCTAAGACACATACATAAAAATAGAAAGTCACCAGAATGAAAAAGTTATGAATTTTAAAAAATCCTATTTATAAATAAGATGTACAGATGGCAAATCTTTTCATTTTGAATCACAACCTAAGTTTAGTAGGTCTAAAAATGTTTTCATTATGCAAACAAATCAGTTTTTTATTTGAAAAAGGCTATAGAGGCACACTTAATCCAAAGCATTGTATCAGTCTTCATGGAATAAAAAACTCCAGAAAAATGTCACCTATTACCACTTACTGTGTTTTATAAGTCTGTTTACTTTGGCATTTTTCCTAATTTTAAATCAAACCCCAATAACTTCTGCTCTCCCTCCCCCATGGCGTGTTTATTTCCCTAAAAACCTCAAGTGAATTTCATGTTTGTCTGTTCTTTGTTTGGCTTATTAAGGCTGCATCCAGAGTATTTACAAAATGCTTGCCCAATTCTGCTGGCTAGCATATATTTCATTAGCCGTCTGATACTTAATGTTACATTTTGATTATTTGTGTCTCAATGAAAAACATTAATGGTTTGTTAAATGAAGAGCTCACCTATCTAGTTTTACTTCTTAAAACACATTAGCTAAACTTTGCACCTTTTTAAAAGAATGTCACTTTTATAACTTTATTAAACACTGACTGTATTTAAAATAACTGTATGTTGGTATGTGTTAATACACCTACGTGGAATTTTTTTTTTTAAAGAAACCACAATAGATGCTAAACACACTTCAGGCCAATACATCGTGTGAAAGATGTTTTGAAGCGTGACTTTCAAAATAAAGTAACTACTTTTCTGGGAAGGAAAAGTTGCACATTATCTTGGCTGGTTGTTTTCCTTTGTATCTACCATGATGCTTATTGGAGAGAGAGAATTTGAATTAGAACTTTCATCCCTACAAACACACCTTTTCTTCTGCTTGAGCATGCAGTGGACTCAGTTCTTTGATATCAGGCTGTTAGTAGAAAAATACAAAAATGTAGGTATCACTAATATACTGAAAGCTACTGATCTTGAAAAAAATAACTCATTTGTTTTAAACACTTTTTTGGCGCAACTCAAACTCCCCCCCAAATCAAAAAAGAAAGGGAAAGAAAAGGATGTGAATCTAGATATGTTTTGAATTTTATTCCCTGCAGTCAGTTTCACCTTTACATGTTTTTAAAGGCCCAAACACTAAGTGGGCCTTCAAAATGGTAAATTAAGCTTTTGGTAAAACTATATATTCCAACAGAATGAAATTTTTTTTTATAGCCACTGCACAGAACCTCTCTGTCATTTTGAGGATACACCATACTATAGATTTGTGACAACTGTTTGGGATATTGGACGCTGGCAGTTCCTGGGTCCCAGATTATATTGGGAGGGGAATTATATACTCCAAGTTAAGTAGAAAAAACACTGAAATGATTAGCAGTGGTGTCCCATATAAACAGTTTAAAATACTCAAATTAAGAGGTGAAGGCTGTGAGGTTTATCTTTTTCTGCCTCAATGCTTTGAAATCTGGGGGAAGATGGTGGGTGTTTGTTTTTGTTTTTGTTTTTTTTCAAGAATTTTCCTAAATCTAGAATGGATATAAATGACTTCAGATCACTAATTTTTACATACTAATAGTTTGTGATAAAATGGTTTGTATTTGTAACCATCTGCACAGTACATTTGCCTGATGTATTTCCTCATAAATGTAGTCCTTATCTCTCATGTTCACTGTACTTTGTGTATCTAAATATGACAGATAAACATATTTGTTCAGTATGTAGACTTAAAACACTACATAATTTTATAATATACTGTATCTTTGCCTCTCTGAAAACACACCTGTGGTTTGGGTCAATTGTATAATAGAGCAATATTTAAATTTATGTAAATCTAATGATTCTAACATAGAAAACTCATTTTTGGTATGTTTTGTAGCATGAAAAATATTAAAACTCGCTTATACCCAGAATTCCAGGCCACTTTGACTGAAGCTGCTTTTCTTTTGCCTTACTCAATTGCTGTTGTTTAAATATTTACACACTTTGTCTGCCTTACCCATGTTGCATGAAAATATTAAATAAAAATGATTTAGTGAAATTGATTTATTTTTATAATATTTAATAATGGTCAATACCCATCTATAACAATCATATTCAGCTTTTCAGAGAAGTCTGTACAGATTTGTGGACATAAATGTTAAACTGTAAATCTGAATAAAGGTCATTTTGAAGAAGATATACAATGTTTGGTATTAAATATTATTTCAGCATTTGACATGTTTATCTGCTAGCAAAAAAATCATGATTTAGTGCAAGCAATTGACTTCCAGTGTGACATTGTCCAAAGAATTATTGCATAGTAAATCGCTTGTTTCCATCTACAGTTTTAGATGCTGAGAATATGCATGAAATCAGTGGGTTGGCATTTGTATACTGAGATCACCTCAGCCACCTTGTGTTTCTAGGTCCTTAAATAGTCCTTAAAAAAACAAACACATGCTGCTCAGTAGTGATAACTGTGCCTCATGGCTCATCTTGGTCAGAATGCTTAGCTGTACTTTGCTCCACCTCAAAATGTATAGCGCTAAACAGGAATTGGATTGTTCAGTCCCATTAGATAAGATTCTTCATACTCTTAGTCAGGTGTCTGGTTTTCTGAATTGGAATAAATGTTGCCTAGTTTGTGTGTTCTCTTACTCCAGCGGTCCTCGACCTTTTGGGGCTGCTGGGCGCCCGGGGACAGGGCTGCTCATGTGCTGTGCACCTGGGGGCGGGGCCATCCATACGCCGCGTGCTGTGCTGGCGCCACCCATACCCCGCATTCCTGGGGCCGGCGCGACTCCTGTGCTGCATGCCCAGGGGTGGGGCTGCCCATACGTTGTGCGCCGGGGCCGGAACAGCCCATGCGCCGCACGCCCAGGGCCAGCACCGCTCCAGTGCTGTGTGCCCGGGGCCGGTGCCACCACTGTGCCGCGTGCCCAGGGGCCGGCACCGCCCATATGCTGTGCGTCCAGGGGCTGGCACAGTCCTTGCGCTGCGCACCCAGGGGCGGGGACACCCAAACACTGTGCGCCTGGGGCCAGCACTGCCTATGTGCTGTGCGCTCGGGGCCGGCGCCACTCCTGTGCTGTGTGCTGGGTGCCGGCACAGGCCTTGCATGACGCACCCAGGGGCAGGGCCACCCAAATGCTGCGTACCCTGGGGCGGGGCCACCCATGCGCTGCACGCCCGGGGCCAAGGGTGCCCATACACCATGTGCCCAGGGGCTGGCACCGCCCATGTGCCGTGCACCCAGGGACAGGGCCAGCCCTGATCACTCGGCGGGCGCACAAAAAATGGCCCGGGCGGGCGCCATGGTGCCTGTGGGCACTGCATTGGGAACCACTGACTCCATTGTTGGCCATGAGCAAAGGAAGACAGCTCCCGGAACTGCCTGCATAGGAATGTTTTCTCTTGCCACAACTGCAAGTTGAGCAGGGTCTGCAGGAGTAATGGACATGAGTTGTGTTCAGTTAGCAAACAAGTGGGCTGTGCCCACGAAAGCTCATGATACCATCTGCATGTTTTGTTAGTCTATAAAGTGCTACCAGACCATTTGTTATTTTTTTTAAGTTTCTTTTATAGTAGGTTTGTCAATACTATATTTTTTAAAAATAAAGGACAGTTTTCTTAGCATCTTAGCCCCACCCCTCCTTCCAACATTATCTGAATACCTCTGACATGACGCACACAAATAAAGAGCATGTGAAGTGAGGTGCCTGCTGAGTGCACAAGACACAGACTGTGAGAACTATGCACTGTGTCCAATCAAAGCGCTCCCATATTTCAGGTGGCACACCCCACAAATTGTAGGTATGTAAGCAAAATAAAGCTATCCTACCCTGGGAGATGGTCTTTGTTACAACAATCTTACGGTCCTCTGAGATGGAGGGCTGCTTGGGTAGGCTCCTCATTAGCTAGATTGCCCATTGTGGGTTTACAATCTAAGTTAGTGTTTCCCAAATGGTGTTCTGCAGAACCCAAGTGAAAATTTTACTCCTCTGACCCCTGCAGGGCCTGTAGGCAGCTCGCATTAGATCTGTGCTGGCAGGAGCAGGCTTCTGGAGGCATGTGTCTCTTGATGCTCCTCCCCCCACGCAGTTGCCCCACCAGGTGGTCCTTTTCTCATGCCACAGGACTGCCCGTCCCATGGGGCCTCTGGTGCTTCACAGCTGCCGCTGCCTCATGTGCAGGTGGTGGCTTGTTACAGCAGCTGCTATTGCCGGGAGGGGAGGGGTGGCTGGGTCTGAGGTGCTGAGTAGCCACTCCCAGATCTCAGCATTTTTAAACTGCCACCTGTGCCCTGGTAAGGGCCGTGTGGAACTCAGCTGGGGCTCTGCCCCCTCCCCCGCCAGCGGGAAGCCTGACCTAGTACTGCAGCTGCACTGAGATACCTGCTGCATGGGGGCCCCCGGGGAACTGAGCTCCCTTTCCCACCCCCTGCTGGGGGAACAAGAGTGTGCTGCTTGGAGGCATTCCCTGCTACAGCAGGGTGCCAAGCTAGCTAAGCATTCCCCTTTGTGCCCAGACCCCATACCCAAATCCTCCTCGCTCCTCTCCCCCACCCTGACCCCACATTTCCAGCCTGCTCCATATAGAAGACTGTTACTAGGGGTTCCGCAAAATTCTTTTGAGCTGAAAAGGATTCTGTGGCCAAATAAAATTGGGAGACACTGATCTAAGTATCCCTTTGATTTGGCCACGTCAAGACACTTGGCTGACGCCTGGGACATAAGAATGCCATTCTGGGTCACAGGGCCCGACAATTATGGCAATCTACTCACCTGTGGCAGTAGATTTTAGCCCAGCACAGCGCTGCAGCATGGTCCGCGCATGCGCGGGGTGCCAAACCGTGCGGCTGGCAAGCAGGGCTCGACGCCGCTTGTCAAGCCCTGCTAGGTCAGATGAAAGGACCATCTAGCCCAGTATCCTGCCTGCTGCCAGCGGCCAATACCAGATGCCCCAGAGGGAGAGAACACAACAGGTAATCCTCAAATAGTCTGGTAGCACTTTATAGATTAACAAAATATGTAGATGGTATCATGAGCTTTCATAAGCAAAGCCCACTTTTTCAGATGACTGGAGTTTTGAGTTTAGGATGTCCAGACCCAAAATAAATAGGGAGAAAGGGGAAAAAATGGAAGGGGTGGGAAACAAGAAGCAGAGGGTATGTGAATATGAAAGAGAAAACCAGACAGGTGATCCCTCCTGTCACCCTTTGTGCTGGGCCACAGCGGAGGGTGTGCTTGCATTACACTGCAGTGCTCCTTTGCTCATAGCTCAGCATCCATCATGCTACACAAAACCTCCCCTGTCCTCGTGGGCGATCCCAGCTGCCAGAATCTCTTAGCCCAGGCTTGGCAATGGCTATCCAGGGGCCTCCTCCTCCCCAGGCAGCGGGGGGTTTGGGCTGGGCACTCACAGCCCCCAGGGAGGGGCCCGCCCCTGCAGGTGGATCAGAGACAGAAGGCTGAGGGCAGAACCTGGCTGAGCAGCAGGGGAGCTGAGCAAAAGGGCCACGTGCTCAAGGGCAGATGGGCCACTCCACAGGCACCGGGGATGCTCCTCACTGCTCCAGGCAGTTCCATTGTGGGGGGGGCCTCCCCCAACCCCAAAGGGAGAATGGGCTGTTCCACAGACACTTCAATTGAGGATTATTAGAAGCTGTTCTCCTTTCTCCCCCTCCCCCCCACACACACTCAACATACCCAAACCTTCTGCCCCCCTCTTGTACTCATACTCTCTCCCAGATCTGGCACCTCAATCTCCTGCCTTCCATTGGGTCGCAGTAGGGATCACTGCCCCGAACCCAGTAGGGGCCTAGTTAATGGGCCGTTCCACTAGTGTCAGTTCCACGAAAGCTCATCATCTAATAAACCATCTTGTTAGTCTTTAAAGTGCTACATTGTCCTGCATTTTAGTTCCATATTGGGCGCTGATGTGCTCTACCCCCCGCAGGGACAGTCCGTGCCGTTGAGAGTCGCTAGAGGCCTCCCCTCCGCTCCCTTGCGAGTGGTTCGTCCGTTATGACACAGCACAAAAGCCGGAGCGGGCGGAAGGGGGCGGGAGCTCGCTCTCAACCAAACGCAGCGAAGCCGGCGCGGTGCATGTCGGGCCGCATCGCGTTGACCGATGTACGATCCGACCAATGGGAAGGGCGAAAGAGCCCGTCGGAAGTGGCCATCCCCAATGGCTGGTGGGGAAGTGGGCGGGGGGGTGGGGTTTCCTCAGGGGACCGGGAGCCGGAAGAGTTGTGGGGCGAGGGGTCCGAGGAAAGGCGGCAAGTAAGCGCCGGGACGCGCCATGGGGGTGGATTCGGGCTCGAGGGGGGCAGGGTCGAGC